CTGTCACGGTTCTACTCCCGCTGGGGGTATTGCTAAGACCTATGGGAGGTCGAAACAGCAGTCCACCCTGGATGAGAGCAACTTTTGGGAAAGCAAGGCTATGTTAGCTTCAATGGAAACAACAGCTCTACGCATATCATTGTGGGAAAATTCTATTACCAGTCCTTCATCATCAACGAAATAAGAAAAATACATCTCATATTACTTATTTATTGGTATTCTCGAAACTATACTTAAATACGAAATATAAATTTATTCCTATTATATTTTGAACAAAGTCTACCCTTTCACATACAGGGTAAATTCCTATTTCCTTTCACTAGGGTGCACGAAGCCCTCACCTTCTATGTTTGCCAACGATTCACGTGCTCTTTGTTTCTGGCAGATTAAGAAGCAAACTAATACGTGGACTATGGTATTTAAAATTTTAACAACTAGTATGGGTCATGCACATAGGCTGTACTTATACTTTTTACATGATATATGAAGGCAGGCTAGTCTCATTTCACATGACTCGGGCGTTGCATACATGCAATACATAATAGCACATACCTAAACATGTATCCACATCACCTAAAACGCTTGTTTTTTTATGTAAAGAAAAAGCTTGAAAATCCACTTCCTATTTATGAAACAACTTGATTCATTTGTAAGCATGCAGGATAAGCATGAATGAGCCAACCCAATCTTGGGATGCTTCAGTTAAATAGTAGACTTAAGTATACGAGGAGAGTAAATTTGCAATCGGCCCGTTCTTTCTTGGCTTAGTCTATTGGTGCTGTTTTTCGTATGCTTCTCGCTTTGACGCTGTCTGTCATATGACAGGAAAGTTCAGCGAAAATTCATCCGAGTCGCAAGACGATGAGTCGGGAATTTATTCGCAACATTCAACAATCTTCATTCAAAGGTAATCCTCCCCAACCTTTCTTTGGAAGCAATTTTCGAATTCAAACAAAAATTTCAAAGGTGGACAACACTTAATTTTAGCTATTATGCTATATTTTGAGGCATTACTGTTCAGTTCGAAGGAAAGGTTGGTTGGAAGTAATATGTGATGTGGTCTCACTGGAGACCAAAAGAGAATTGCCGCGTATTGAGGACTATTGTATTGTGCAAATAAGTCCTCGTGTCCACCGTCCTGCGATCCCGATCAACTTGTGCTAAACTTTCGTCTGTACTGTCATAGACATCATCAGAGCAAGACTCCATACCTTACGAAGTAGAGTAAAAATAGAATAACTAAAAATAAGAGGTTGCCGGCTGCAACCCTAGTCGCTTTTTTTATATACCTAATTTCACGATCCTAGTGAAGCATTCCATGCTTTGGTTGGCTACTCCAACTTTACTCTGAATCTTAGAAAATGAGTGAATTTACTTCACGGACCGGAAGTGCCATCGGTGGCAGCTGTTTAATTACACAAATAAACTAGTGTACGATCCTCTAATGTTGATTAATTTTTGGGTTTGTGCTATTGTTTATCTGTAATGATCATTTCATGGGATGTTTGACAGGCCTAGCTAGACTCGAGGCTGATCCAACGTCTGGTTCAGGCTAGCCAGCCTGTCTAGCTAGGACTATCATGACATGATCATTGCATACGCACAATAGATAATAGCAAAAGCCCAAACATGATTCAGCATTAAAGGATCAAACACTAGTTTAATTGTGTAATGAAACAGCTGCCACCGAACTCACTTGTGAAGTAACTTCATTCATTTGCAAGCATGTAGAGTAAGCTTAAATTAGCCGACCAAATCATGGGATCGCGAAGTTAGGTATATAAACAAGCAAATAGGGTTGCAGTCAGCCAACTTTTCTCTTGGTTTAGTATATTTTTGCTCTATTTCGTGAAGTATGAATTCCTCTGATGATGATGCCTGTCAGTACCGATGAAAGCTTGGCACAGGTTAATCGGAGTCACAGGACGATGAGCCGAGGACTTATTCGCATAATTCAACAGTCTTCCCTACCTGACAATCCTTTGGTTTCCGGTGAGACCATATCACGAATTCCTTCCAACCAACATTTCCTTCAAAATAGAAAGTCATGTCACAAGTCAGACAGTACTTCCGACATGTAACAGCTACCTATTGACAAGCGGGTTATGCAAAAGGGGCTGAATGGAGATCAGAAACCCTGGAAACGGTGGGGAGGTTGATTGTGCCTCATTTAATCTATTTGTCGCAACATACTCTGAGGCGATACTGGAGGAAACGAGTGCACCGAATATGTAGATAGGTCATATGAAGTTGGGTTGATGGAAAGCGATGCAGTACTAGAAGGTAGTACAAAAATAGGGGCGAGGAGTGATGGCACAATGGTTGAACAGAATATTTATCTAGGAGATTGTCTTTTCCTGGCACTTTGATAAGTTGTAACTCTGTACTGTCGATGGCACCTCTCACTGATGATGCCAGCGAAAGGTCTGGGAATGTATCAAGTCAATGGTCCGATGCTAGAAATCACATTTACTGTATCAGATAACACAGGACCATGTACCTTTCACAAGGTCTGTCTGACGCTCTGACCAATTTGCGAAAACAAGGTGAACTAACACCATACATATCGAGCTAAAATATGAGTTATGAAATATAGTTTAATACTACATTCCATAAGGTTAGCCAAATATGACATACTTTTGCCCCTGCGCCTCATAATCAGATAATTTTTTTTAACCTTCAGCTCCTAAATATCGTAAATAGATGCATTATTCGCCGCACACAGTTACTTTTAACGAAATATTTGCCAGTAAAAGGTGAGTCCCTATCTATATTTCATCTTATCTTCCTTTTTTCTAACTGACGTAACTTTTTTTCTGATAAACTAATCGAATAGTTGAACAGGTTGTTTGTTGCCGACTAAGCCAAATTCAAGCAGCCATTTATTCTAATCTTGTTGATAAAAAAGCGGTAGAGGTCGCCGCCATGACTAGTGTAGCCGCCAGGGATGGAAGAGCAGTTGTTTCTTCTCTTGCTTCGATTACGCAACTCAAAAAGCTTTGTAACCGTAAGTTATTCCTCTAAAACTTAAAGTATTGATGATTTTGAAATAATACTAATAAAAAATAAATAAACGTTTGGAAATCTACCAAGATAATGGTCCGATGCTGGACATCACGAATAAAATGGCAGAAGGCACAGGACTAGATAAGTTCCACAAGGTCTCCGACCAAGTTGCGAAAACGAGGTCGAGCGAATATTATAAAGCTTAAGGAGACTACGACCAAGCAAAAGACCACGCCATCTTGGTCTTCATATCTACGAAAAAATACTGCACTTTCCTTTTTTGCATCCCTGCAACCACACCGAAGTCCCATTTATATAGTTAAAATTCTGAAGGCATAATATTGAGGGGTTGAATTCCTAGTTTTACTGATTTATTTTTATATATTCTGCTACGAAGTAATGAAACAAGTATATTTATGCTCAATATATTGGAGTATTATGTTATTTATAAATAGTTCTAGCTTTTATATATCGTGGTATCAAGCAAGTAGTAAAATAAAAGACTTTCGCCCTTCCGACGACAAGATTATTTATCTACTTTGCCTATCCCCATTCCATCTAGTCCTGTATATCAATGAACAAATAGCTTTAGTCACGGTTGCATAGGGTATAATAAGGGAATACTTGCCGTCTGAACAGGTCAACAAATTGAGTTTTCTAAAAGCATTTTTGTAAGACTTCTTCCTAAGACGTGAGACCGTATTTGAAGTGAAGTAGAGCTTATTAAAATTAATGGATAATGTACTTGTTTCCTCTCATAACAGGAGGTAAACTAGATGAGCACTCCTTTTGCGTTTACAATAACGATGCATTTAATCTAGGGGATTAGATATCCTCGTGCCTTCATTCATTTTTTAAACTTTCCCTTTTTTATCGATTGATATGACTTGTGATTAATTTGATAATGTTAAGAGTCTGTATTCTATATCTAGATAATCAGCTATCACTTTACGTAGAAAATCTTTAACATGCAGCTTATTCTTTATTCACTTTATCCCTAATTCTCTTACTATCTATCTTTGTTTGTAAGAGTATTTTGGACTAAATGTTTTAAATAAGGAACCTTTTATTGATTCCTGGAATTAAATTTAAACGATTATACAATGGACAATACTCCTAACGATATTGGCATTATCTTTATTTTTCGCAAAATTCCTTTTATTTAGATCCTGATTTGGTTTTTGACAAGATTGTAGCTGGCACAGATGGATTTGATGGTGCATTACAATATTTTCCAGACAAATATACAGGCTGTTTGTTGTCTGGCAGAGGCTTAAAGCCCGAACTTTCAGGTATTTCTC